GAACAAGAATCACCTGGGGGCCGGCCCCATAGCTGAGTGGTGAAGTTCACTCGCTCCGCTATGGCAGCCCAGGGTTTCACTGGTTCAGATCCTGGGCGTGGCCATGGCACCACTCATCAGGCCACCTTGAGGCAGCATCTCACGTGCCACAGCTAGTAGGACCCACAATTAAAACATATAACTATGTACTGGAGGGATTTGGGGAGAAAAAGCAGAAAGAGAAAAAAAGAAAAAAAAGAAGATTGGCAACAGTTGTTAGCTCAGGTGCCAATCTTTAAAAAAGAAAAAAGATTTACCTGGAAACCTTGTTAAACACAGTTTGCTGGGCCCACCCTCAGGGTGGCATGTGGCATGTGGGTATGCCAGCTGTGTCCTACCAAGGGGCCCTGCCTAGGTGAGTGCTTAAATCAGCACTTGCTCCAAGTGCACTGGGGTGCAGGACGGTGTCTGTTCAGAGTGAGGAAGGCATCTTACACTAGTTTACACAAAAGTATCATGTAGCCTGGCTGAAGTCTCACCATTCCTGGAAGCAGTGGGACAAGAAGAAGCCATTGTCCAGGTCCTAATGAAAACTGGGAAGCCACACAGTTCATCGTGCAGGGTACCTAGAAAAGAAACAAGAAAATAGGCATAGCCCATAAGTCCCCAGCCAAACAGTTCCAGTCTGCTACCATTTGGGCAGGGATTCAGGGGTCCTGTGTCACAGTTTTTCTCCAGATTACCCTGGCAGAGTTTTCAAGCCAAACATGTAAATCAGCTTCAATTCAATTTGGGGGGAGAACGGTTCTGAGGGCTTATCCTACCATCAACCATGATGTGGCTTTACATCTGAGAGAAATAGCCGTATTATTCTCTTACTATCAGATGCTCTTAAGGGCTAAGAGTAACAGTATCTTTTCCCAGCATCATCATTCATTTGTTCTCGTATTTTCCTTCTTTTAATGTTTCATGCCTTTTCCATTTATCACGTGTCAGAATACAGATCTAGGCTCCCCAGAGGTGCCTCTGGATCAGCCATACTCTCAGTCCACAAAGAGGGCAGCAATAGGAAACTTGCCAAAGCCTCCCCATTTTTCCATTCTAGGGAAGAAGTGGAAGGGTTGCCTTGGTCAAGTACAATATAGCTACAATCATGGACCACATAACAACATTTTGGTCAATAATGGACCGCATACCATACCACCGGGTCCCATAAGATTAGTACCATAGAGTTTAAGGATGTAGCAGATTATACCATCTAGGTTTGTGTAAGTCCTGTAGGGGAGGAAGAAATTTTCCTATACTCTTCTAGATTCTTCTGGCTGTTTTAAGAAATAAATTGACATGAGGCAGATTAAAAGGAGAAAAACAAAAGTTTAATAACATGTATATATGGGAGAAACCCAGGAAAACCAAGTAACTCACCAAAACAGCTGAAGCTCTCACCTTAAATACTATTCTCAGCTAGAGACAAAAGACGTTGGGAGTAGGGAGAGTCAGGGACTTCAAAGGGAAGGAAGGTGGGGCTGGCCCCCTGGCCGAGTGGTTAAGTTCACGTGCTCTGCTTCAGCGGCCCCGGCTTTCGCCAGTTAGGATCCTGGGCGCAGACATGGCACGGCTCATCAGGCCATGCTGAGGCGGTGTCTCACATAGCACAACCAGAGGCGCTCACAACTGCAGTATACAACTAGGTACTGGGGGGCTTTGGGGAGAAAAAGGAAAAATAAAATCTTTAAAAAAAAAAGGGAAGGAAGGCAATTCACAAGTAGGTGAAAAGGAGCAAACATTTGAAAACAAGGGTCTGTTTGGCCACACAAAAACAGAACAACACATAAGGGAGCCCAAGAAACAGGCTTTTCTAGGTTCCTCCCTGTCCACCACCTAGTTCACATTATGCTAAGCTGATAGCTCACTTCCCGAGACAGGATTTGTTTGTTTTAAAGATTGGCACCTGAGCTAATGTCTGTTGCCAATCTATTTTTTTTTCCTCTTCTTCTCCTCAAAGCCCAAGTGCATAGTTGTATATCCTAGTTGTATGTCATTCTTAGTTCTAAGCCACCTCAGCTTGGCCCGATGAGCTGTGGCACATCCATGCCCATGATCTGAACCAGCAAAACCCTAGACTGCTGAAGTGGAGTGTGCAAACTCAACCACTCTGCCCCTCACTTCCTGAGACAAGTTTTTTTTATCTGAATTCTTTTAGATAGTTAAGAAGGAGGTAACAAGCAAAACTCTGAGTCTTGTTTCTTAAAAATAATCAGCCTGAGATAATCCTCATGTTAAAGAGACACATTTTGGGGTGGCAAATTTTGTTCCCCTTCAGTACATTCTATGATGTTCGCACAACGGTGAAATCACCTAATGACATATTTCTCAGAACGTATTCCGGTCTTTAAGTGACACGTGACTGTATATCCCCACTATATGGGGTGAGTGAGGGAAATGGAGTGAGTCATATACTCAATCCTTGTTTGCCACGTGATATGAAGTCAGTATCCAACACAGGAGTTTCTTTAAAAATATGCACATTTATGTTCAAGGGAATAGAAATGATGTCTTGGGCAGCAATTTTCCCTTCCACTGGGTCATCCAAATGTAATGTCAGTCCTTTAAACACAGGATCCAATAAAACAAAAGTTTGTACTGATGGGGTTCAGGGCAGGCTGCCCCAAGATGCGCCACTCTGGTATGAGAATTATTTTGAGCTGAAGACAATAAAGGCTCAGAAGACCCAGGAAGAACATTCAACCTCCCTCTGCCAAACTGCCTAAAAGAATTTAACAAGAAGGCCTGTTCCAGGAAGGAGCTCATACCATACGATAGCTATAGTGTGATGTAAAATAGGTGTGATAGAAAGACACCAACAAACCCATTTCTTGGCCCAGCAAAACCTGTTTACCAAACATTTGCATTGCATCTCCACGTAAATTTTCTTCTTCCCCTCTGAAATCCCAAACCACTACCCCCAACATCCTCCTTGTCTGTAGCTGAAGATATTTCAACAGGCAGCCTCCGTCAGATGGCTGAGTTACTCAGTTTCTCCCGAGTTTCTCCCACGTATATATGCTATTAAACTGTGTTTGATTTTCTCCTGCTAACCTGCCTTTTTAATTATTTAACCAGCCATAGGAACCTTAAGGAAAAGGTGGGGTGGGGGGGGGGGGTGTTGAATTCTTCCGCTTCCCCAACAGTTTCATGGGAAAGAGAGAGAGTTCTATCACAGCACCATCCTCCACCTCTTCATTTCCACCTCCAGCACCGAAAAATCTTTGTATTTATTTATTTTTATTGAGATGTAATTGACATACGACACTATATTAGTTTCAGGTGTACAACATAATGATTTGATATTTGTATATATTGCAAAAATGATCACTATAAGTCTAGTTAACATCCTTTGTGATACATAGTTACAGAATTCTTTTTTCTTGTGATGAGAATTTTTACAATCTACTCTCTTGGCAACTTTCAAATTTGCAATACAGTATTGTTAACTGTAGTCCCCATGCTGTACATTACATCCTCAAGACTTACTTATTTTATAACTGGACGTTTGTATCTTTTGACCACCTTCACCCAGTTCAAACCCCCCTCCAAAATCCCCCACCTCTGACAACCACCAATCTGTTCTCTGTGTCTATGAGCTTGCCAAAAACCTTTTTAAAACTGTTCCTCCTTTGCTACTCGTATTTGGACAAAGCACCTGTTCCCCTAACTGATCTAGCCAGCCCACCACATCTTTACACTGTATTTTCAATAATGTTTCAATTACCTGTTCTAGTATCAATTTAACAGCTACTCTAAGGTGGTAAGGAATATGATATGTCCAGCTTATGGTGGGATTTGGGGGGCCTATTTCTATACATCGGCCATGTAGAATGCATTCTTTGGTCCAGCAAGATGTATGATAGGGAACAAAATAGCCCTTGACAGTGGATGGAATAAATGTCAAACTCAGTTGACTCTTCTAGAGGCGTAGACAGCAATCCTATATAGTTCACTGGCTTGTATGCTGGGACCCCTGTGCCCAGGATATATTTCCAAATGCCATCTTTAAATGGCTACTTCATTGTTGATGTTGTTGTTAGCATTCCACAGTCTCTTACCAGAAGAATGGCTTAGGTAAGAGGCAAGCGGGGTATATCATCACTCCACCCAGTATTGCATGGCTTTGGCACCACTGTACCTGCTTAAATTGCCCAGATGCCTACTTCTAGGGAATCACGGGGCATCAGCTCAACGTTCTCCTTCTTGAGCCAACTTGATTCTTGTGGGCATCTCTGTGATCCACTATAATCCTCCCTCGGAAGTCCTGTAGGGCCTTCCACAATTTCTTCCCTACACTGGGAGTATTCTTAATGTTAATTCATCAAGATTCTCAAATTTCTTACTGTCTATGACTCTTTATGTCCACAGACACTGCCCTGAAGTAAGAAACTAAGTTCGCCTTCCATCGTCGTGTATACTGTTCTCAACTCAGCCCACTGCATGGACTTACCATTGCATTACTATTTGACTGGGTTTTTACTGTCCATGGGGCAAATAGTAGCTAACTTTTATATTGGAGTTCCTATGATACAGGACCTCTCATGGATAAACCAAGAAACTTATTTTATTTTGGTGGACAGAGAGCTATGAGATTTAGACCATTCAGCAACAGAAGTGGACTGCTAATTAGTCCTAAAGCAGAGATGCTACCTGCTCATATGTGTTAAAATTCCTCAGAGAGGCCAGCCAGGTGGCGAGGTGGTTAAGTTCACACACTCTGCTTGGCCAGCCCAGGTTCACAGGTTTGGATCCTGGTTGCAGACCTACACACCACTCATCAAGCCATGCTGTGGTGGCGTCCCATATACAACATAGAGGAAGTTTGTCACAGATCTTAGCTCAGGGACAATCTTCCTCAAGGAAAAAAACAAAAACAGAGGGAGATTGGCAACAGACATTAGCTCAGGGACAATCTTCCCCACCAAAAAAAAAAAAAAAAAAACAAACCCAAAAACCACCTCAGAGACACTTCCTGAGAGGTGAATTTCATTTCATTTGAATTTTGTTGTGAAGCTTTCTATTTATCACAACTTCTTTCTGATATCAGCCATATCATATCATAGGTAGTTTGGATCTTAATTTGCTGTTCTTAAGTTATGGGGACTGTTTTCATAACAGCCCAACAGCATGCTGGCAAACCAGCTCTCTGGGACGTCATCAGGAACTTTTTGAGTCCAAAAATCCCAGTGGTTGCCACCAGGTGGCAGTATTACATTTCAGTCAGAGTTTCCAATTTGCATGCAGAGTCACAAACTTCTGAAATTGTGTGAATGTGTTAGAATCGTCGAGTATCAGCAGCATGCATTATATATTTCTTCATAGCTTGCTAAATAATCCTTCAAGGTGTCGTGCCTCCTTTCTGTTGGCAGGGTCCTGGAGGGAAGAGTAATTTATTACTTACTGTTTACAGAATACCTCTGGTGGCGTAAAGTTATTGTTAGAAATTTCACTGATTGCACTAGGCTCTGAATCTTAGCTGGATTGATTAACCATTCGGCTAGTCATATTGTGCCACTGCAGCCCTCAAATCTGAGTTTCTTCCTCCACGGGGGAAATGATCATAATATCATCGATATTATGAATTAACTTAATCTTGATGGTGATCATGTCTAAATCCAATCTCACCAAATTGTGGCAGTGAGTTGGAGAAGTCAGATATCCTTGGAGATGGACCATACACATATGTTACATTCCTTCTCAGGTACAAGCAAGTTGTGCGTGACTTCTCTCTGAGGGTGAAATCAGGAAGATAGCTTTAACTAAATCTATCACAAAGAAAAAATCCAGTCACAGTTAGCTTTTTGAACCTATTATACAATTTTTACAATGCCTGGCATTGTAAAACAGACACTTGTTTAAATCAAGGAAACTGTCTTGTCTAAATCATGACAGTTACCAGTTATTTCCAAGAGCCTTCGCTTTTCCTCCTGGGCCACAGAGGATTCATAGAAAGCACTAGCGGAGCTTAGCACTTCTGCTCCCATTGCTCCCTAATGAAAGATGAGGTTTTCTGTGTCCCTCCAGAATCTGACACTGCCTGATATTTACTACAAAGGAAGGTCTGAGCAAGTCTCAGGGCTTCCCTTTTGCACATCCAGTTAAAACTACATCAAGGGCAGACTTCTCTGTCGCTTGAAGATATTTGACTTTAAGCTGGTAGTGACAAGGACCTTCTTCACATCCATTCTAATGACATATTCTGGTAAAGGCAAGAAGTGGATATTACTTTCTTCCTTATTTCTCCATCTTCAGCTTCCTAGTGCTCCTGGTGCTATCTACCATAACCTTCCCATATGCCCCAAACTTCAATTTTCATACCTTAATACTGCCTTTCCATTCCCCCGTTGGCATTATGGTACATTTTGCATCATCATTCAATGGTTTCAAAAAGATTTTCCGCTATCGTCTGCCGCTCCACACTAGCTATATAATACAACTTGGACCCCATACCAGGGGTCAAATGAAAATTTCTTCACCCTCATATTAATCGCCCTTTTCTCCCACAATGTTAATTGATGAATTAAAATCACTACCTGTGCTAAACACCTTATTTCCCTATTTCCCTTTAGCATCGTTGGCTTTAAACTCATCCAGGCTGGGATAACTGGTACAGATCTGATAGGGTACTCAGGTGAGGTGGATGCAGGAGCTAGAGTAGGTTTCCCTCCTCTCAACTATTATTAATGTGCCACCAAACCCTTTGTAGGGATCCTGTCAAATTCCTGCTTCTCAGGTCAGCCCAGTGGTGCAGTGGTTAAGTCCGCACATTCTGCTTCGGCAGCTTGGGGTTTGCCAGTTCAGATCCTGGCACCGATTGACAAGCCATGCTGTGGTAGGCATCCCACGTACAAAGTAGAGGAAGATGGGCACGGATGTTAGCTCAGGGCCAGTCTTCCTCAGCAAAAAGAGGAGGATTGGCAGCAGATGTTAGCTCAGGGCTAATCTTCCTCCAAAAAAAAAAATTGTCACTTCTCTATTCCCCCTCACCCTCTGCCTTAAAAAAAAAATCACGTAAATAGTTCTACCTGATTTGATATTTATTTCCCTTGTTCTGGTTGCCATTTTCACCCCAGCCCGTTAGCTTAATTCTAAATAGCTTAAACGTTCTTTTCATTGGTAAAGCCAATTACTAGAAGCTGTGAGAACAAATCCACCTTGACATTCTGTATATTTCCTCCTTCTCCCATTAAAAGAATCATATGGGAAACCCATACCTGAGAGGCCACCCCTAATCACAGTATGTAACATAGGTACATGGAACTGCAACAAAAACCATCATAAAACCAGTCAGGATTGATGGCTATCAATACTTTTACGCTTCCATAGAGGTAATCCATTTCACTATTAGTAAAAGGAGTATAAAATTTCCCTTCTCAGTATAAATTTGCTGCATTTCAGGCTTCACACACTCCAAAAGGAGCATTGATATTTAATTTGGGTCCTCTATGGATCAAATGCTGAACACCACAAGTTCTCGAGTAACAGTCATCCCAAACAACTCTTCCCATTAACCAGTTTCTAAAATCAACAATGCCTTGGTTTTTCAGTCTGAGAATTCAACAACACAGAGATTTCACAGTACTACTCAAAAATATAACCACATTCCATTATACTATAGCCTTTGTTTTCCATGTAGGTGTATCTGATAAGGCCAGATAAAAGCATACAGGTTGGTTCAGAGACCAATATAGGTCCCACCTTCTCCTTAAAGGCAGAATTCTAACCTTAGGACTTAATCACCACTTAGCCAGCCTCATGGAAGAAAAAACCAAAGAGAAAATGAGAGAAAGAGAGGACATCAATCTTCCCTGGAGGGCAGGAGTGGTTTAACATATCTCTCAGGTACATGCAAATGAATTAATAGAAAAGGGAGAAGACAATCATTTGCATGTAACGTTTTACTGTACAGTGACCCTGCGTCCAATAAATGCAGTTCAATCAATTTCTCAGGTTCTTACCAAACAGGTTAGCATTTCTCTTGGAGAAAAACGTGGATAGAAGTGGGCCAAGAGGCAGCATGGAGACAAGGAGAAGAGTTCCTCTCTGCACTCCCTACTCAGTATAGCACATTGAAAAGACAAAAGGATGATGTCATTGCACTACAGCATTATCTCACTCTCTATTTCATGAACGTCTTGTGTAATAATGGAGAGACCCCGAAGTATAAATTAGTTTCTACTGCTTAATTTGCTAATTTGGCTGTGTACTTTGCCTTTCTGAATCTTTTTACATACAAAAAACCCACAAACTGTTCAATGAGATGATCTTTAAGTTCCCTTCAAGATCTAAGATTCTATGATTTTATTATTATAGTATATGTCCAGATTTCGTTACCAAGTTGATTGTTGGTCGCTTCTGTGAGGCAGGGATGATGGCTTATGCACCCTTCAGGTGTCTAGTGTTTTACAGTTAGTACCTTTTAAAAAGATGTCGGTTGAGGTGTGGAAAAGTATTGCTGCTTCAATTTGTGTTAACAAGGGGCTGAAGGGAAAATACATAAATATGCTTGCATAGACTATTCCTGGAGGTATAAACGAGAAACTAATACCAGATGCTTTCTAGTAAGGGGGCTGAGGGACCAGGAGTCTTGTGTGGGTCGGGGGAAGTTATTTTGCATTGTAAATTGTCCTTTGTACTTATAGTCTACTCTCCCCTTGCTCTTTCTCCTCCAGCCGCACTGGCTTTCTTACTGTTCCTCCAATTTAGGAAGTATGCTCCCGACAGGAGTACTCTGCACTTGCGTTTCTAACGTCTGGAGACTCCTCTAACTACATTGTATGCACCCGCCCCCCGCCAACTTCCTAATACCCCTTTCTTCAGCACCACCTGACACGCTAAATATTTGCGTCTATTTAGTTATGACTTGCTTTTGGAACACTGCCTGGTGCATAATAGGCAATCATCAGATACTTTTTGAATTAATGAATGTACTGTTCTAAGTTGATTTTTTTTAAAAAGCATGTGAATAACTTTTTCAAGGAAAACAACCAATTAAAGAATGTTTGATGAATTAACTGTTAGATGTTTATTATAGGATAAAGTCCAGACTCCTTTTCTCACCATATAAGGCTCTCCTTATCTGCCACGTATTGCCATGGGCAAGTCGTTTAACATAAGTTCCCTTTCCTCATCCATAAAGTGGGGTTATTAATAATTACTTTACAGAATTAAGGTTAAATATAGGTGAATGCGCTTTTATAACTTTGGCGCTATGAAAGTTACCAAAAGCACAGTGTTTCTTCCTTGCTTGGAGTCTAGGAGCACCACACGGTTTCAAGTTGCGCCAACCACCTGAGATTTAAAGCCAGAAAAGCCTCAAGGGCTGCTCCAGGAGAGATCAATCTTGCGCGTGGGGAGCGCTTGTAGTTGCTGTTGCCAAGGAAACCGTCCGGCGTCCCTAGAATCCAATCACGAGCGCCGAGGCAGCTCTGCTCGACCGCCTTTCAGCGTTAGCAATTGGTGGAACGCGAGCCAATCGGAAGAGGTCGGAGGGGCGGGGGCGGGGCTGGCAGTGTCCTGGGCAAGGCGTTCCCGCGGCCTCGCTTCCTGACTTCCGGGTCGCGGTGCTTGCAGGGAGCGCTCTGCGAGTAGCGTCGTTTCCGTTGCCGGCTGTTTGCAGTTGGGGAAACCGAGGCAGCTCCAGCTTCCCCCTAGTTCTTCCGCTCCTGTGAGGTGGCCGCTGTTTCTTTTCGTCTCGCCCCGCGCTGCTTCGGTGCGGCTGCGCTGAGGGCGCGCGGGCTGCGCGAGCCCCGCGGTGTCCTACGGCGGATCCGCGGGGCCCCGGGGATGGCTGGGCTTTGTGCGAGCCGGTCCCTCCCACTGGCGGGCAGCGCGCGAGCTGGGTTCGGCTGGGCTCGGCCAGGCTCCGGAAGAGGGGCTCCGCGCAGCGGCTCCCCGAAGTCTGGGGAGCTCAGGCGCCACAAAGCTTCAGTTCCCTCCGCTTGGCAGTGCTGCTGCTTTTGTCTTGATGAGCGCGGACTGGATGGATTCATTTTCAAGTCACAGTTCAGCCCATCTCTGATGTGCATTCTTTCTGCGCTGACCTGCGGGGGGGTTCGAATTTGACAATCCCTCAGGCCCCATTGTGGAGATGGGAATGTTTAAGGCCGGAAGATGAGCATTTTTGTTTGTTCTTAAGTAACTCTTCCTCACTTGCATTGCCCCCATCCCAATTCATTTAGGAGCTGAAGATCTTTCTTTGGCATAAAGATTCAGTTTTATCGATGGTGTAGTTTATTACTATTCTGAGTATTTCTGCTCTCACTTTTTGAATGGAAAATCAACGATTAGCCAGGGTGTGATCTACTCCTGTTCAACTTGAATACTTCAATTTGTAAGCCATATGTAGTGTTTTTATTTACCGGCATCATCTGACTGTGGGACAGATGTAACTAGAATTATCCATAGGGGTTAAGAAGAGCTTATTCCTTAGAAAAACAATTCTGATATGTGGCATATTTTATTTAATTGTGCTTAATTGGGTTCCTTTTGTAGCTGAACTGTTGAGCCGCATTCTCAAAGACTAAGAAATTAAAATAGGGAACAGAGCTTGAATCTAAATCAGTAGTTTGATTTTTACAGTTGTTTTAAAGTGATAGATTGACCATTTGACCATCATTTAATTAATCTAAATTGTATATATTACACCTGTCATTGTTTTCGTAGATGCCTAAACACTACTACAAAATAGACACAATGGAATAACATAATAGACATTGATATAATTTGGGACTTGATGAGTTGGATAAACTAACATTTTTCATTTTAAAATCCAATATAAGGCTGTTAAACCTGTCATATATTTCCTTCTCCAGGAAAAAATGTTTGTTTCTTTGTGGGAGTTCTTCTATGGGCACTTTTTTCGATTTTGGATGAAATGGCTCTTACGACAGATGACTGGAAAGTGTGAACTGCAGCGAATTTTTGATACCTATGTAGGTGCACAAAGGACACACAGGATAGGTAATGTTACTAAAAGGAGAATAATTAAAAACAGGAAATTTTAACTCGGAATGAATATTTTTTCTCAATACTCATATGCACTCGTGTATCCTGATCAAGTCATTTAAACTCAGTTTCGTAATCTTTGAAATCTAGCTTGAATCCTTCCAGCTCTAAAACTATGATTTTATAGAAAAGGAAACTGATGGTTATTTAATTCTGCATGTGTGCAAAGAATTATCTTCTCTGCCTCCTGAAATTCATCACTTGTACCTTAGACTATAGTTGCGACCTATTTTCTAGAGAAAAATCTTTATGCTTGTATAAGCCCTTTGAAGTGTTAGCTCAAGTGAAGGGGAAGAATGAGTGGATCTAGATCCATTTTTATAGTCAGCATCGTTCATCAATCTTTTAATCTCTTACTTAATCATGAAAGGACAATAATAGGTATCTAGTGATCCCTGGGAAGGATTATTAGACTCAAAATCTGCACTGGGCAATACTCTAGCCATTACTCACGTGTGGCTCTTGAGCACTTGAAACATGAATAGTCTGAATTGCGATGTGCGGAAGTATAAAATATATACAGAGTGTCAACGAGCTTATATAAAAAGGAAATTTAAAAATATCTCACTAATAATTGTTTATGTTCATTATATGTTGAAATAATATTTTGGGTATATTGGATTAAAAATATATTAAAATTTTATCTGTTTCTTTTACTCTAACGGGGCTACTAGAAAAACTTAAGTACGCATGTGGCTCACATTTTGGCTTGCGTTGCATTTCTGTTGAATGCTGCTTGTCTGTTACCTCCTAAAAATTCATCAGCTTTTAATGCTTAATTGAAAATATTGCTTTCAATTAGAATAGGAATGAGTGAGACATATGGTTGAGGTCAATTCTCTTTGGCCAGAGTAAGGAAGACCAGGGATTGTCTGCAGTTCATGTTCACTGCGTTAAATGGAAAATCATGACTTAACCAGATCTTTTGTGTTGAACAAGTTTGCTTCACCTAAGAAATCCACCCCTGTAAGATTTGGGGAGGGAGTGTTGGTATCCAAGACAACATGGGGAGAATGACAGACATGAGGGAGTAGGCCTCAGGGCAGCTGGATGATTGAAGTTTAATTACTTCCCTAGTTTTCTCACAACTTTGTGGCTGACTTAAATTATTGCCTGCTCTTTTGATTTGCCCTTTTGACGGCTCTGAGAAGAACAAAGTACCTCTTGATAAGAAACCTTGGCAATATCGGTTGGTTTTTTATAGTATGGGGGAAGAACATATTAAGGCCTTATTTTGTGGCAAAAACATTCTTCTGGAATTTTTCAAATTACTGAGAAAAAGGAGACTATTCATCAGTGTGCCTGAAAAATTTTTAAATAGACCAGTAAAAATATTCTTGTCATTCTTGAGACAGAAAACCAGAATGGAGAAGCTATACTGCTGTTTGTCTGGTTAGAGAATGGTTGGCCAAATAACCTGAAGTCTTTTCATTCTTGCCCCTTTGTTGTTGGATGATTCAGTTGCTAGCTCCCCAAATCTAAACGTGTACTCTTTAAAGCTAATAAATGAAGAAAATATCATAGAGAACTCTTTCAACTTTAGTCTTAAGTTGAGTTTCTGGGACCTGAGCTATTCTGAGGCAGCCGTGGATGAGTTTGCAGTGGTTAGTGGACACTTGGTGTTCTACACAGAAACAGATGACCCTGGGGAAATAAGTCGGTCGCACCAGTTTGGCTCTGGTATGTTGTGTTGGTTTGAGGATTTTGGAATCATATCTAGTTCTCTATACTGTAAGGATAAAATTTTAAAATGCTTGCTGTGTTATTCATGTAGAAATGATATCTTCTAATTTTATTAGAGGAATTTATTACTGGTTTGATATTTATACTATTTATTTATGGAGTAATTCAACAGCATTTAAGTGATAACATTCTGGTTTATTTTTTTTCATTTCAGAAAATTCCTTGACGTACTCCAAGAATAAGGTAGGATCATATCAAGGTGATAATTCTAGTAAACTTAACTTGGGGATACTTTTCCTTTAAAAGAATGCCTGAATTTTAGAATTATTTTTAGTGTCCTACTGGAAGAATCTTTGCCGTAAAGAGTATTGAGTGAAATTTTCCCACTTTAGAAGTAATATTCTATTTTTAAAACATTTTCTATGTGTGTGTGTATTTGTGTACTACTTGTGCACAAAGAAGGTATTTGAATAATTTGTCCTCTTCTGTGGTTTTGCTTGTTTATTTTTGCCTGAAAACTTGGTAGCTTTTGGGAAAATGGGGTCTTAGGGCGAAAACCTTCTCTTAGACTGTGTCCTTAGGATAGCTTTTTATGTGAAAGAAAAGCAAGCAATTTTGGGTAGTTATAGGAAACCCTGGTCATGAACCTTTTGCTCCAAAATAAATCATACTTCATGTTGTTTATTAATCAGCTTTTGCTGTGTAACAAACTTATAAAATCTCAGGGCATTTAACAATACGTTATTTATTTCTTCCTCATGTGTCTCTGGGCCAGCTGGAAAGGCTTCTCTTTAGGCTGGTGTCAAGTTCAAGTCTGTTCCAATTGTCTCGTTCTGGGACCTAGATTGAAAAGATAGTGGGTCCCTGGGGTATGTTCTTCTCACAGTGGATCATTGAAGTTCCAACCACATAGACATATTTTAAGTTTCCTTGTGTCATGTCCATTAACATCCCATTGGCTAACATAAGTTACATGGCCAAGCCCAGGTCAAGGGGTGGAGACATACAATATGCCCACCATAAGGCCATAGTATATAATTCAATTACAGGAGAGTGAAAAATTGAGACTGATAATTCAGTCTACTACACGCTGTACTTCCCTATAGTAGTTCACAATTTTTTCTATATATATATGTAGATAGATTATTTGGTGTGGCAAAGGTAGAGTGTGGGTCATCTAGACCATTGTTTGAAATCCCAAGTAGATCACAGCCAGCATTAAACAACGACATAACGAATAGAATAGAAAATATTTAGAAAACATTGGTCATAATAAGGTTAAATGTTATTTTATGAAATTTTAATTTTAGTTATCTATGTGTGTGTGCATCTATATGTGTTTTAGGTATCTATGTATGTTTGTGCTTGGTTGTGATGTACAATGTGGATCAAAAATTTAGAGTCAAAAAAAGTTGACTTGCTACTGTCTAGTGATATTGATGTGAGTTAATATGTCATGCTGGAAGGAATATGGATGTTGTTGAATGTTGCAAACATGTAAGTTATGTTATGGAGAGTGACTTATAAGTTAGGTGCTTTACTGATTTACTTTCAGTCTTTTATTTAAGAATGGTCAGTGTAAGAATAACTCATATACATGAATGAATATTGAGGGGAGGAGTCTAGAGTCCTACTCTTTTGTTCAGAATGTTAGAGAGTAATTAATATTCTTTTTTTTAAATGAGAACAG